ATTACAATAGAAGCTATGTGCCAGCATACTGCTGGGTAGCCTCTCTGGGCTTCTTGTATCTCTGGGAAAGGGATCATCACCTTTACCGTGCAGGTAAAAATAGGGTAGAGCACTGGCAAGAGAAGTGAAACTTGCCCTAAGAGTCCAAGGAAGTTTCTCCACTCTTTCACAAGACCAAATACAAAGTACAGTTAAAGTATCTTAAGTTAGCTTTTCAATGACTAAATTATACACTTAAATAAACAGATTGTTAAATACACAGCTCCCAGTCTGAGCTAGTAATCAAAAATTATCGGTATTCCCAGAATCTCCTTTTGTCTGTCTTCCTACAAAGGTAATAATTATCCTCCATGCTGCCACCACAAATTCATTTCGCTTAATTTTGCCATTTAATTAAATGGAATCACAGAATGTGCATCTTTTTAGCCTACATTTTTAGCTCAATATTAGAAATGGGTTTCATCCCCCGTTTTGAGTGTAGCTCCAGCTCTTTTTCATTTCTATTCTATTCTAGTCTATTCTATCAAGTGTATTGTAAGTTACCCATCAGTCATATTACGTAGATTCTAGATGAAGGCTCTTGGAAGTGCTTCCCTTATGCACATTACTTACATACCAGTTTTCCCTCATCTGTGGTGAGTGCGTCCAAAAACTCCCACTGGATGTCTGATACCACAGATGAGCACAAACTACATATATGATACTTTTTCGTACACATACATACATATGAAAAAGCTTAACTTATAAATTAGTCACAGTGAAAAAGATTAAACAACTAGAACAATATGTTGTAATTAAGTTATTAAAAACTTAGGATTTCTTCACTTTTCACTGGATACTTTTGAAACTTCACTATGAGTAGCTTGAATCATGGAAAGAAAAACCGTACTATATATACTTAGGAGAGGAATAATGGGCTACAGGTGGTATGTGTCTATTTAGTTAAAGGCTCCCTGTCAATCAGGTCTGTAACGTGCCAGTTCCTGTTGTAGTTTCCTGGGCAGGTAAATTATATGTAAGATTTTCTAAGTATATAAAATATATCAGTTAACCTCAGATAGGAATGAATTCCCACATTATGTGGCTCAGTCTGAGATGCCTATGATCTTTGTTACATGGACAGCACAGAAGACCTGAGAGGCTCCAGCTGCCCAGAAAGGGCATTCTCCAGCCTTTGTGCATAGGGGAGGCTGATGAGGTGAAGTCTCCTGTCCCGAGCTCACTCTGTGGGTTCTTAGGAATGGAATTACAATAGAAGCTATGTGCCAGCATACTGCTGGGTAGCCTCTCTGGGCTTCTTGTATCTCTGGGAAAGGGATCATCACCTTTACCGTGCAGGTAAAAATAGGGTAGAGCACTGGCAAGAGAAGTGAAACTTGCCCTAAGAGTCCAAGGAAGTTTCTCCACTCTTTCACAAGACCAAATACAAAGTACAGTTAAAGTATCTTAAGTTAGCTTTTCAATGACTAAATTATACACTTAAATAAACAGATTGTTAAATACACAGCTCCCAGTCTGAGCTAGTAATCAAAAATTATCGGTATTCCCAGAATCTCCTTTTGTCTGTCTTCCTACAAAGGTAATAATTATCCTCCATGCTGCCACCACAAATTCATTTCGCTTAATTTTGCCATTTAATTAAATGGAATCACAGAATGTGCATCTTTTTAGCCTACATTTTTAGCTCAATATTAGAAATGGGTTTCATCCCCCGTTTTGAGTGTAGCTCCAGCTCTTTTTCATTTCTATTCTATTCTAGTCTATTCTATCAAGTGTATTGTAAGTTACCCATCAGTCATATTACGTAGATTCTAGATGAAGGCTCTTGGAAGTGCTTCCCTTATGCACATTACTTACATACCAGTTTTCCCTCATCTGTGGTGAGTGCGTCCAAAAACTCCCACTGGATGTCTGATACCACAGATGAGCACAAACTACATATATGATACTTTTTCGTACACATACATACATATGAAAAAGCTTAACTTATAAATTAGTCACAGTGAAAAAGATTAAACAACTAGAACAATATGTTGTAATTAAGTTATTAAAAACTTAGGATTTCTTCACTTTTCACTGGATACTTTTGAAACTTCACTATGAGTAGCTTGAATCATGGAAAGAAAAACCGTACTATATATACTTAGGAGAGGAATAATGGGCTACAGGTGGTATGTGTCTATTTAGTTAAAGGCTCCCTGTCAATCAGGTCTGTAACGTGCCAGTTCCTGTTGTAGTTTCCTGGGCAGGTAAATTATATGTAAGATTTTCTAAGTATATAAAATATATCAGTTACAGTTTTCTTCAAGAATTATCAACAGACATTAATGTGAAAGCCAAAGGGAAAACTTGTGGCATGACAGCTTCGTGGTCTTGGGTTAGACACAAACTTCCTAAACAAGACCCAAAAATCAAAGCCAGGCCTGGCTTCACATTCCTGTAATCCCAGCTCTCTGGAAGGCAGAAGCAGGAGGACCACGGGTTTGAACCCAACCTGGGCAATTTAGCTACTATGGAAGACCCTGTCTCAAAATAAAATAACATAAAATTTAAAACAAAACAAGCAAAGATTTGGGGATGGAGTTCAGTGGGAAGGCTCTGGGAAAATCCAGTAGAAACCAAAATAACTAATTTTTAATTTACTTATTGATAATATTTGCATTTATATCTGCGACATTCACATTTGCTTTCTCTGTCTCAAGTTTACAGTGCTCCTTTTCTTCCTTTCATTAACATATTTTGGATCGATAAAGCATTTTAAAATTGTTCCATTTCCTTTTCAGTGACTTGGTAGTTAAACATCTCACTGTTCTGTTGTTACAGTACTTGTGAAGGCGCATTCTCATTATTTCGGAGCTGAATAAAAATCAATGCCTTACTTCTTTACAGACATTCCATGAACCCTATGCCACTTTAATTCCATCTACATACTATGTTGTTATTCTAATGTTTTTAAATTTTCATGTATTTAAAAGTCCACAGATGAGCTGGGTGTGGTGGCGCACACCTGTAATCCCAGCACTCGGGAGGCTGAGGCAGGAGGATCACTGTGAGTTCGAGACCAGCCTGGGCTACATAGTGAGTTCCAGGTCAGTCTCAACTACACAGTGAGATCCTGTCTCAACAAAAAAAGTCCCCAGATGACTTCCATTATTTATCCTTGTACATGCCCCATTTTTCGTTCTTTCTTCCGTTCATCAATTTGTGTTTCTGTGTATGTGTGTGTGTGTGTGTGTGCACGTGCGTGCATTTTCTGGGGTCATTTTGTTTGCCCTTGAAGAATTACCATTTGTATCCCCCCTCACAGAATTGGCATCTAGGAATCAGAGCTCAGAGTTTGTTTATGTGAAGATGACTTTATTTCACCTTCATCTCTTTTTTTCATAGCATTTCAAAAATATCATTTAATTTTCTTCTGAACTGCTTTTAAAATTTCTCTTTGTCTTTAGCTTTCAGCAGTTTCAACGTGATAGCAAAGCCTAACCTTTCTTTGCATCTATACTCTTTGCGTGTTGCTGGTTCTCCTGAGTCTATGTGTGTATATGTCGATATATTTCATCAGTTTTAGAAAATTATCAGCTGTTACCTCTTCAATAATGATTCTGGTTCCTTCCCCGCCTCCCTTTCTCCTAGAAATGTTATCTGTGTGATCTCTTCATCTCTTATTTTCCTTTTCTTTAGTTTCTATCTTTTTTCTCTTATCCTTGTTTAGCCAACACTTTCTCCTTGAATGTCTCGTAGTTTCTTCCTTATCCTCTCCTTTCTCTTCTTTCTTTTTTTCCTTTCCCTCTCTTTCTCTCCTGTAAACACACACACACACACACACACACACACACACACACACACTCATGTTGTTTGCTGCAAACTAATGTTTTGGTCTTGCTCAAAGGAAAATATGTGACCTGTGAATTTGTTAGACACAAATACTTCCTGGTCTGTCTCCATTTTACTGAATGAAAATCTCTGAGGACAAGGCCCAAAGTGCTGCATTTTGTTATGCTTTCAGGGTGACTCTTATGCATATCAGAGACACAGCCACTATGAGAAAAGGACAACAGAATTCAAGATTTTATATTTTAATCCTGGTGGCATTATTAACATTTGAAATCCTTCTGTATTTGCAGGGCCTAGGACAGTGCCAAACAACTTTTAGGTCCTCATTAAAAGTGGTTGAAGGATGCTGGGGATTTAGCTCAGTGGTTCCACTGCCTGCCTCGTCAGAGCAAGGTCCCGAGTTTGATCCCCAGTATCAAAAAAGAAAAATGTGGTTGAAGGAAGGAACATCTGGTATAATACTTAAGGTAACTTAATGAAATGCTTACCATTGGTGACCATCTGCTTCATGTATTAATATGACAACAATGCCTATGCACTTTCCAAAAAAGACAGAAGAAAGCTTGTCGTATTCACCATTTAGTCAGAAGTTTCAGGTAACAATAATTTGGCGAGCAATAATTCCTGCTCATAGTGACAATCCCTGAGGTGCTATTAAAATACAAGCTCACCAGTGTTGACGATATGATACTCAGGTACGGTGTGATTGGCCTTTGTGCTGTAAGTTTGTCAAATCTGCTGCATTCGGAAAAGCTAAGGCTTCAGGCTGAGAGGACAAAAGCATTCACATCTTTTAGATTGGCTGTGTGCATGTGTGTGTGTGTGTGTGTGTGTGTGTGTGTGTGAAATTTCTGGCAATACCATTAATGCAGTTGGAGAAAATAGTTTACTAAAAGTGCCACTAAAGTACAGTTAAATACAAAGAGAGCCCTGAGAAGAAAGAGATTGGTGAGGAGAGAAGAACAACTTGCAGCGAAATGAAAGTAATTAAAGAAAGCTGTCAGGGAAGGTGAAAAGATAGCAACAGAAAACGTAATGGAAACTAGAACAGAACAACAAACATAAACATCTAAAGGAGAAAGTTAAAAAGTTTGTGCTGACAATACCATGATTTATCAGAAAAAGCCGCTGCCTCAAGAAGAGAGTGTAAGGGGGGCAGGCCCTACCTCTTCCAGCTGCACCAGCAGGGTGACGTTGTGGCCTTGTTCTGCCGTCAGCTTCCCATCGGCAGTGACAATCCGGAGCCCACGCGGGGCCTTCCCGGGACACTTCTGGGGTTTGGCAGTGTACTGCTCTCTCACTCCGTCCGTGCAGTTATTGGAAACCACCTTTCTGTACCTACAGGAGAAGAGCCCAGTTGTAAACCAGCTCATTCTGATGTGGATCATTCCCAGGTTTTGAACTACACCCACGGCTTGGCCCCGGGCCTACCATGGACCACCTGACCTCCCACACTCCCTGTTCCGGTGAGGATGACAGCTGCTTCCCAGGAAGCTCCCTGCAGAGAGGCGAGTCGTGGAGCTGAAGGTTGTGTCTGTCATTAGCACTGTCACAGATTCCTTTTATTCTCCTAATCAGTTCATCCAATCACCTTGGAGTCGTGGGAAATGCACAGAACTACAGCACATTGTCTGTACCCCACTGAGACAAACTCTAGTTGCAGAGATACAAATGCACAACTTAGAAGATATTTTAGAATTAGACAGAGTCATACAGTTGTCTCCTCTTAGTCTCCAGGAATTGTTCCACGATGCCCAGGAGGTTCCTGAAACAGCTGATAGAACCCAAACCTATAAGCACTAAGTTCTTCACTGTGGTACATACCTAAAATAAGGTTTAATGCATAATGTGGGCAGATTAAGTGATTAACAAAATGGCTCATAATAGAACAAGTATAGCAATGCACTGCAATCAATTTATAAGAATGTGACCTCCCTTCCACAGTATCTTACTGACCGCACCCTTCTTGAGATGATGAGAGAAGAAACAACGTCTGTGTAAAGAGGTGAAATCAGTGAATGAGATGGGCATCAGGACGCAAACTCAGGCGAGATCTTGTCTCCCTACTCTCGGGAACAATTTGAAACGTGTGGATATTTTAATTTCTAGAATTGTCCACTCGGTAGTCTTAGTCTGCCTTGAAGATAGGGAGCTGAAACCACTGAATGTGGGACTTTGGACTGGGGGTGAGCGATTGTGACAACTGTGTGTAGGGGATTTGCAATTCAGAGAAAAGTGATTACTGATACGTTACTCAGCATTGTATCCACAGGATGCTATGATAATAGCACAGTGTTGTAGGAAAGAAGTTAGCTAAATTTGACACTTTCTGCTCATTTCCTGAGAGGTTTTACTGATTAAACTGCTGAAACCGTCCATAAATGGGGCTTCTGCAGATTGAGAAAATCTTTCCTACAATTTTGATTACTTCTTAGTTTATGTTTAATAGAAAAATGAGATAGCCTGTAGAATTATCCTATTAATTTACCAGACTCACAGAGAATTAGAATCTATGGCTTAAAGATGATTAAAATTTGAGAATTGTGAGGTTCAAATCACCTACTCACCTTTTTTTACTATCAGTCCAGAGTAACCTGTTTATGTATTGATGTATGCGATTTCCCAAATCCACTTGCCTAGAGGTAATGTCCTCTTTCTCCAAAACTAAGACCTAGGTGGAAAATTATCTGCTTGGAAAACTAGAGATCAAAAATGCCTGTCCTCACCTTCCCTGCCATGCCTGTTCTCTTGCTCGGTGACCACCCCGTAAGGCAGGGAAGGCTGACTGGGGCTGGCATCGGTGGTCTCTGGAGTTCAAGGCTGACTGCTTCCCTGCTAGGTCTTATTCTGGAGGAAACACAGTAGTAGAGCTCAAACTGGAGGCACTATAAGCCCACTTCTGACTATTTTAGGCCAGAGGCCAGCAAAGGCTTTATACAAATGATCAGACATTAAATGTTTACTTTGTAGGCTGTGCAATCTTTGTGGCAACTACTCAACTCTGCAGCTCTCCCATGAAAGCCGACACAGACAGTACTTAAATTAATGTGCAAAGTTAGCTTCCACTAAAACTGTATTCACAACTCTGTCCATGGAGTGGATTTGGTCTGCTGATAGATTTCTGGTCCACAACAAAGCTTTTCTTCGGATGTTGAGTGTCAGGACTGACTCCTAAGAGCAGGTAGAGAAAGTCAAATGAGATGGATGTACACGGGTGGCCACTCACACCTCTCACGGGTGGGGCGAGGACTGGGTGGATTCACACAGATGACATAGACTTCCGTGTCCCTGAGCCAATGATGATGAAATGTCACTGTTTATTTTTATTCAGTATTATCCCATGCCTCTTTCCTGTTTACAACCTTTCCTGGCTTTCACATGCCCTCAGGAGAAGTCCCAAACCTCTTAATCCTTTATCTAAAGCCCTTCACAAACCAACTTTATTCTACTTTTCTAATGCCTTCTCCCCAAAAGCTCATTCTGCTACAGCCAAATCTCCTTCTAAGCCTCTTGAAAGTACTTTTCCTTTGCTCTTTCCACTTCCATCTTCCTCTGCATGCACCATTAGTTGCCTAAAGCTTATTCAACCTACAAGGTAAAACTCATCTTGCCTTCTCTAAGACAGTTTACCAGACCACAGCAGAAAACAAGCATATTTAGAGAAAGTTTAAAATGGTCTAGTCATGGTGCTAAGTTCTTCACATGAGTTATCTCAATTATCTTGAAATAACTCTAATAAAGAAGGCACTGTTATTTTCCCTAGTACACAGATGAAGAAATCAAGACTTATGTTGATAATTCATATTAATTTGTTTTCTCACGGTCACGTGACCAGGACCCTAGCCCCTGCGTCTCTAGAACACACTTTCTCTACTGCTACACTGCACTGCTTCCGTAAATAAAGACGGTCTCTCCTCTAAACTCTGAGAAGGCTCTCTGACTGAATTTGTAAGGAATCCCTAGCCTTGCACTATTTTCTAACTGTGTGATTGTGCAAACCTTAAGCTCTGCCAGGGCTTCCTTGTATCCAGATGGAAAGGCTGGGGATCAGAAGGCCCACGCTGGCGTGACTGCTTCAGTTGAAACGCTGAATACCTGCAGAGCAGATGCTACCACACTCGAGAATCCCACTCACCACTGAGCTCTGCTGGTCCTATCCTTAATGGAATTGTTCAGAAGTGAACCCATTGGAGTGTGAGTCTCCAAAGCCACCTGCCCATTCTGACTGGTCATTATCATGTCTGAGCATTGTGAACATCATTCCATTAAAAAAAAATCTTCCAAGGTGTTTATGCTGATTAAAAGAAAATAAGGCCTGTGCTCGTGAGTATATACTGATTAAAAGAAGAAATAAGGGCTTGCGGGGGAAAGAGAGAAAATGCAGACATTGGAGAATAGTAGCATTCTGGTATCATCCAGAGCCACAAAAGATGACTGGCACCATCATGCAGGGTAATTATGGCTTCACGGTGAGTTTAACTGCACATCCCAAATGGCCCGAGTGCTTCAGAGAGAAGCACTGTGCTAACTAAGGCAGCCTGTGACTGCGGATCACTGAGCAGCCAAGCACACCCCTGGCTCTGCCTGGTGCAAGGTATCACTGCAGCCAGTGTTGCTCCAGAGCAGCCCTTGACCCTTCTGTTTGTCGCTGTTCTGACTAATCGGCACCCGGCTTTCCTGACTCCTGCAGCCACAGGTAGTTCCTTTTAGATCCAAAGCACAATCTCCTCCCCTGGGATTCTGCCACAGAGAAGACTGTTGGTGATTTTTTAAAAAGGCTCATTAGACACCATTCTGAAATCATTTTATTTCTTGGATGAAAATGGCATTGCATTAGCCCTACCAAACCTGTCCCTGAAACGCAGAAGAAAATTGTGCAGAAATACAGAGTTAATTTACTCAAATAAGCACACACCTGCTTTTTGCATTACAGAGCGGTTCTATTTTCATCCCAGCAGCTGTCCCTGGGTCTGAATTACATAAATGAATAATGCATTTAATATGTTATTAAATGGTGCCTGCTACCTCTGTAATAACAAGGCAACTTATGATTATGTTGGGCCTGAGCTCTGAATATGGCTGGGAAACATTTAGTTGGTAAAGCATTCTTCAATCTGCCACAAAGAAAAGTGCTTTGTAATGGCAAGGGAGTCTTTGTACAATTACTGAAAAGGAAACATTCTGCAAATGTGGCTTTGATATTCCCGTGGCTCGTCAGTAGAGGGCGCCTCACTGCTCCAACCACCTGCCTTCAGCTCAGCTCGTCTCTCCCTTCCAGTCTGGATACACCTCTGCCACTGTTTCCGTTTTACCTCTACCACCTTCGATTCTGCTTCTGTGCTGCCTGGCAGTCTTAAAAAAGATGAAGGCCATATTTTGTTTTCTTTGTGAGAGTAAAACTGTGGCAAGAAGCATCGAATGTCTTCATATTCGGTGATTTTTCGATTTGACACTTGTAGTTTCCCTTACGAGTCTAGGGTGGCGGTGTTTGGATACAGATGATTACTATTCACTGTGGGTGGAGTGGAAGTACTGGCTAAGCCAGAAGAGCTCAACATGGTCTGCCCTTCTTTTACATTTATTTTTAATCAACAAATAATAATTATATTTACCGGGTACTCTGCAATGTTTGGTCTAGGTAGACACTGTAGAAAGCTGTAAGGCAATTGGCGTGCTCATCACCTCACCCACCCATTCATATTTTTATGGTGAGCATTAAAACTAATTTTCTTAGGAATTTAAAAATATACATTATCGTTAACTGTGGTGACCATGTTGCACAGCAGCTCACTAGAACTATTCCTCTGGTCTAACTGAACGTTTGGATCTGATTACCAGGCCCTGTTCACCACCTCTCTCCCCACCCAACAGCTGGGATCTGCCTTCTACTCTCAACTGTTCACAATTCCACAGATAGGGGAGGTCATACGATGTCTGCTTCTCTGTGCTTGGTTTTGTTTGTTTGTTTGTTTGTACCGGGGGTGGGGGAATGAACACTGGACCTTGAGCTTGCGAGGCAAGTGGCAGAACCACTGAGCTAAATCCCCGGCTTCTCTGTGCTTGAATAATTTCACTTGACATCATGTCCTCTGGTTCCATTCCTGTTACAAATGGTAGAGTTTCACCCGCTGTGAAGACTTGATAGTATTCCAAAACCCCGCATTTCCTTTCTCCAGTCAACCCACCGATGGACAGGTGGCTTCCACATCTGCGGGACTGTGCGCAGCATTACCATCAACAGGAAAGGGCCTCCACCAGTTCAGCATCCCATACGCTTGCTCCCACAACTACTGTCTGATCTTCTGAATCAGTTACTGTCTGATCTTCTGAATCAGTCT